TCTCATAAAATTTTTGTACTTAAATGGTTAAAAATGAAAAATAATCGTCAATATAATTTTATTAATTTTTTGTATAATGTTACAAAAGGAAATAAACCAAAAACTCTTTTGGATAAGTTAGTTGTGAGACCAGAACTGCACCCTCTAAAAGGTTTGCATAGAAAAATGAACCGAAAAAAGTTAGCACAATTACAAATAACGATGGCGATCAGAATCTGCAGAGGATATAAAACAATATATATATGGAAAGCAGCCTCGTTATCTCCGGAATTATACCCATAGACTTTCTTATTAAAGTTCAAGGTAAGAAAATAGCTAAAAAGAAAGAAGCTAGAACAAAAGCTTTAAAAACGTGGCAGAGAAAATGGGAAACATGGGAAAAAGAAGATGGACGTACACACTCATACCTAATATTGAAAAATGGAATAAACCGAAACGATTACGGCTGGTTTATGGATTACCTGAATAGATTAAGTGTGACTGAGCAACAAGATTGCATGTACTGTCCGAATGTGGATACAGTAGAGCAGCGTTACTCAAAGTGTGGTCCGCGGAGAAATGAGATCTCATTTAACTCAAAATAGGCTGATTTTAGAGAAAAAAATCATTGATGCTTTTTTGTAGAGCGGACATTTTCCCATTGAAATTTACTTTTGGCAAGCCGAGAAAATGTGAAATGCGCAAGTTACAAGCAAAAAGTAAAAAAAAGGTCACTATTTCATTAAAAATCGAGTTTTCTCAAAAACGGCTGCTGGAACCGATTTTAAAAAATATATTGCGCCAATCTATAGCCCTTCAGAAATACTTTGACCGAAAAAAAGTCTAGTAAATAAACTTTTCATTTAAAGTTGGTTTCCAAGCACCGTGTCATGTGTTGAACACATCAGATTTTTTATGATAAAGTAGAAATGTTTCATTCATTTGTTTGTTAGTGCTTAATTTTATACAAAAGTCCAACTTTTAGCAGCTCTGTTATTTATAACTGTGCTTCTATCAATAAATTAAAATGGTTAATACAGTCTACTACATACTGGTTTAAAAAAACATTTAACACTTGCCTCGAGATACAGATTCAGTAAATATTTCTATAAAATATTTTCATTTCATTTCGATTTGTTTTATTAACGATCCGAGGTGAAATTGACACAGCGAATAATGGATTATGAGGCCGCGTTTCTGCAAATTCTATTATGCAGTTCTCTCACGATTTTCATTTCTTTCACTCAATCGATCAACTGATCAACAACAACTTGTATGCGAAGAAGATAAATAATTAAAATGTAATATTTTTAATTAATATTTTCACTTCCTCTTTAAGACATACCTGTCGAATAGTAATAGATGTTTGCGAAGACAAACAAGTATACGAGGTTCTATTAAAAAAAATTCGTAATTTTTTATTAAAATTTTTTATTAAAAATGGTCGTCATTTATGTTTTTGGAATACAGGAGTGTTAGATTGCAGTAGATTGTTTCAAATTATAAAAAAAATGCATATTTACTAACGGACCTCAAGTTTTTATTATATAAAATTTACCGGGTGTTCAAATTAAAGTGTTACAGTTAAATACCGCCGAAAATATGCATTTTAGAAAAAAAAGTTTCAGACAAAAGTTTTATAGTTTTTTAGGGGAAACATTTTGGCTAAATTCATTTTTTTATAGCTGATCATAATATGGCCATATCGAGGTGAACTTTGTTTTTTTAAATGGGAATCCCATTTTTTTCTTACATATTCTTAAAGTACATAAAAAAATAAGAAACTTTTGAGGGAAATATTTTTTTATTGGACTTTTACTTTTTGAGTAATAGCTACTTGAAAATGTTGCTGCGCGAAAAAAAAGTTGGCCATATTATGGTTAGCTATAAAAAACGATTTTGGCCAAAAGTTTTTCCCTACAAAACTATAAAACTTTCGTCTGAAACGTTTTTTTTTTTATAAAAAGCTGTATGTAGCTGTAAATGTTTCCGTATGACAATAATATTTTCACAGACATAGATTTCCTGCCATCAGAAGTGACTAACAGAGTACTAAATGAAGAAGCAGGTAATTCTTCTATTGTAACTCGTAAAGAAAGACCATCAACATCAATTGAACATTCGCTGTTTGGAAATGCAGCTTCCGAAGCCCAACCAGATACTTCAAATCAGTTTCTATCTCCAGAACAATTTCGTGGCTTTCCTGTGGCTGGGCCTAGAAAAGGGAGAAAACTAAGGCACAAAGGGAAGTCTATGGTAGCTACAGACACGCCGGAAAAAATGGAAATTGAAGAGAATGAAAAATGCAAAAGCTGTAAAGAGAAATATCGCACAAGAATAACCGGAAACTACTGATGAAGATAACTACAGCGTTTATTCGGAAGAGGTCATATCGGATAATGATGATGAAGAAAATAAAGTTAATCCAGAATCTTGGCAGTCTTTGGAGAGTCCACCATCAACGGAAGCGTTCGTTTTAGTTGAATTTCAAACAAAACATCACAAAGTTTATTATGTCGGTAAAGTTATAAGTGCGGAAAAATCGGAAGTGGAAGTGAGTTTTTACGAAACAGTAACAAAATGATGAATACATCATATGCCAAACGTGCTTGATATTTCAATGGTTTCTTTGAGCGACATAAAAATGGTCCTACCTTCACCCAACTTAAGGGGAAATACAAAACGTCAATAGGCGTTCTATTTATTTAACTTAGATTTTTCCCTCATTAATTTGCATTAATTTAATTGCTTAATATGTTTTTACCTAATCCAAATTTAAAAATTTGTTATTATGTGTGAATAAATATTTATACATTAATATATAGTTTTAAAGGACATTTAACACAACATTGTAAGTATATTTATTGCGATCCACTGTAACCAAACCAATTAATCACTGTGCCCCATAGGTGGGGCACAGTGATTCATTTGACATTTTTCTTCTTTTTTAATCCTTTGGTTAAAATATATTACCTAATTTCAGATTTTGCTCCAAAATATGTTAGATTACACTTTGAAATAAAATTATAATAAAAAATATTTTATATATTATCATAAATAATATAGATACGCCCAATCAAAAAAAAATTGATCCACTCTACCCCCCTCTCCCCTAGATTTTTTGAAATTAGAAATGTATAAATGACAACTATGGGAAAACTAGTTCAAAAATTTTAACATTCTAACTGGGATGCTAGAACTAGAGAAAAGCGGTGTAAATAGTACCAAAAATCATGATTTTTTCAACCTCGAGTTTTTGACGGATTTTTACGTTTTGGGGTGCCCTGAATCCGTTTTGACTAATTTCGTGATGATGTCTGTGTATCTGTATACTCAATAACTCATGAACGGATAGAGAGAAAAACACCAAATTTTAAACTAAAGTCGGAACAACTGGGAGGGTACTTTATATGGGGTCATTTTTATATTTTATAGAATATATCTGTTATTTACATATAGAGAAAAAAATTCTTCAAATAAAAGTTACTTCTAATAGTCTCTATAATTCTTGCCCTATTCGATATTTTTCTAAATTTCTAAATTTCCGTATTCGAGAAAATTTGACAAAATGGAAAAAATTCAAATATTTAAGAAAATTGATCAAACAAAAGCTGTTTGAGATATTATTTTCTATCATTCTTATTTTATACATAATTTCTCTAAAATATACCGTATTCAAGATATTTGAGAAAATGTGTAAATTTTGAATTATGAAGAAAACTCAAAACCGTATAAAGAGAAAAACACCAAATTTTTAATTTAACCTTTATTATGGCCTACGGTAAACTAATTTGATTTTTGGCAGAGTCGTAACATCTGGGAGGTACTTTATAAGGGGTCGTTTCTATATTTTATGGAATATATCTGTTATTTACGTATGTAGAAGAAAATTCTTTAAATATAAGTTATTTCTAATATTATTCTCTATATTTTTGTCACATACAACATTTTTCTAAAATGGTCCGTATTCGAGAAATTTTACAAAACGTAAAAAATTCAAATTTTTAAGAAAATTGTAAACTGAATGTTGTTTGCGAAATCAATTTCTATAATTTTTGTTTTATACATGATTTCTCTAAAATGGACCGTAATGGAAAAATTTGAGGAAGAGTGTAAAATTTAATTTTTTTAGTATTTTCGTTGGCAATGAATATATATAAAATAAAATGTTTCGAGTAGATGTATGTGGAACATATATCTAGTTTATCCTCTAAACATTTATAGAGGTGGTACAATAGATTGTACAAAATAAACGGAAAAGCCTGTAATAACTAGATAGGAAAGTCATGTGTTGGACACATCAATTTTTTTTTTAAATTGAATGAATTAAAGATTTTATTCTTTTCCAAAATATCCAGCCTGTGAGTTTTTATTGATACTGCCTGCTAGTGGGATAGATTTTAAGTTTTATTTGCTTCATTGAAGATAGGTTATCACAGTTAATAAGTTGGATTCCTTTCTGAATTTACTAAATGAAATAAATCCTTACTAAATTGTTTTTAAATCAACATTTTCTTTATTTACTATTGAACCACCCTGTATATGATAAAACTTACATCGTTGAAAAGCATTTTTTACTAGCTTTCCAATGATGTATGACAAGTAAGGGTTTGCTATTTAATATTTTCTGTTATCGAGGTAGGTAGCGTCTAAGGGGTTGATGGGGTTAGTTCTGTATTTTACTCATTGAAGTCCCTTCTGCGTATCCTAAAAATGGGCTCAACTTTTTTCTGATATCATCTTTAGTTCATGAGATATAGCCCATTCAAGGTTTTTAAATTGTTGCCTTGGTAGTACCTATTTTGTAAAATAATAATGTTAAAAATATTTTCTATCTCTGCTATTTTCAATACCTGGTGACGTATTAGCCAAAGGAGTAGTTGTTGTCAAAAAAGAAACAGCCGCACATATATTGTGTAACTATGGCTTTGAAAATTGTTTGATGTATATTAACATCTCGGAATTTGGAATTATTTCCCTTTTTAAAATAATAATAATTTGGGTAAATTTAATTTTCCTACCTCTTCTATCCTGCCTGATACGATGGCTGTATACATCCTTAAAAAAGTATCCTAGTAAGCACAAATTCACTAAAACTCCAACCTTCATATTTAAAATAAAAAAAAAATAATGAGACTATTTCCCCAATAAAATCACATATAAATTATTTAATATACACGCGAAACGAATGATAATAATTATTTGCCGTGCAAATACATTTTGCTAATGTTCTTTCGCCTCGTTACTGTGTTGAGTACTTTTCGGTACGAGATCGGCGGCTGGTATTGATATCTCTTTAACAGTAATCCGTGAGTACGGCGAAGCCAGAGAAGAGCTACTGGCCGAAGACATGCTTTGGCTTCGGCCGTCTGTAGACCATCGGGACCGCGGAAGTGGGTCACTGGGACACCGTAGCGGGCCTAAGAATGATGGTACCCTGACCTAGAGTTGGACGACGGCGGCTAAAAAGTAACTAATTGTTTACCTGTTATTTTACGAAATTTACATTATTTCTCATACCTACCGCTGAATACTAAATCTTTCTGTTCCAAATTTTAACCGAAACCTAGAAAAAAGTACGTCGGAAATAAAATAAATGTAAATGTTGAATTGAATTTTAATCAACGTACTGTACAACTGAAAAAAGTAAACTTAATAAGCTTAAACTTCATCCAATGATATCTTGCCATTTCTGTTCTTATGCTCAAAAACGCACACGTACTCTACTTTTGGACAATTCTAATCACTAATTTAAAAGATGTGGTCCTCTTGAGTCTTCTCGTTGGGTATTAGGTGGTCATGCAGCATTTGTTCTTGATTTTTAGCGATGTTTTCCTCTCTTCTTCGTCTATATACCTTCTCAGAACTCTGTGAAGCTCTGAGTTCCTTACATAACAAGGGACCCTCAATATATTGTTTTGAAAACGTATTATATTTATGTTATTTTTACTGACACACCCTCAAACTTTATCCAGAGAATTTCATTTAAAAAAACTACTCTAAATAATTTTAAAGGTGAGACTCTAATGATAACCGTTGTTGCTTTCATCCTTCTTATGGATAACCCCTTGTTGTCTCCCATGGAACACCGTGCATAATATTACATTTTTCTATTCTCCTCTATTATTCGAATCCACAAATGTATAGTTAAGATGTACAGTGAATTGTTTGGAAGTTACAAATAATTTCAATTTAATTCTCAACAAATTAGTGGAATTGCTATCATTTTTTAACAAATTATATTATTAGGTGTTGAAATTGACACTTATTGGTTTCCATGCAATGATATAATTGAGTTTTAAATGCTTTTCGTCCATTACAAATAGTAATAGCAGCACTATACTCCACTGGGCCAAATTTTTCTCTAGATCTGGGAAAAAAATTAAAGCGGCATCACCGTAATGAACGTCATTGACTAAGCGTACGGCAAAGGTTAAAACTTGAAATTCCCTAGCACTAGTCCATTTTTCTATAAAAATCCAAGACAAAAATAATTACTCACTACATTACAAGGTGTACTTAGAGTTTTTATTACAATATCTACTATCTGAATACTATTTGAAAACTATATGAATACCACGTTAATACTACTTTAATACTACTTGAATGCTTCTTGAACACTAATTGTGTTTCAAGCTTTGTCATACGCTTAGTCAATGCCAATACAATATTGCCGCTTTAATGTTTTCCCCAGATCTGGGGAAAAATCTGGCCTAGTGGAGTAAAGTACTACTATTACTGCTACTATTACCACCACCTAACATTTCTGAACTTATCTGTCAATATACTTGAACAGTTCGGTAATGTAAGGAAGCGTGGTATATTTCAAAATGCGTATCATTACTTATGAAGAGGAGGAGCTAAAGAAAAAGAAGAAGAAGTTACGTAGGGCCAACGACGTTACTAATAGCTAAATGATCTTTTGTCAACTACCTTTAGTTGTTGCTGATGTATATACGAGGTGAACGAAGAAGCTAAAAGGGCCACTTTTACTCTAAAGACGTAGCAGCTGTCACAATGAAAAAAAAAACGTCGAAAAAAAAACAGAAATAATACGCAGTAGCATTACCAAAAAAGACTATATACCAGTGTTACTGAAAGTGTGGCCATAATAAAAAAAGCAGTACTATCGCTACAAAAGAGAGGGACTGGAGGACCTTTTTTTTATTTTAATTTTTGTTGTGGGGGCTCCGCGAAGAAAGGGGAGGGACCTAGTTCGAGGCCTGTTTTTTTTAGAGTCAATAAGAGAAAGGACGATATTGACTTTTTTTTTGTTAGAAATGTGTTTAAGACTCCGTCAAATATTTCGCTTTTCAAAAAGGTTCCGTCACCAAAAAAGTTTGAGAACCACTGCGTAGAAATTCGTAGAAATATGTGAAAGTTCATAGAAATTTATAGAAATTCATAGAAATTCGTAGGAATTATTAGAAATTCGTAGAAATTCGTAGAAATTCGTAGAAATTCGTAGAAATTCAACTTTTTGCTTTAGTTTTAACCATGAGTTACCTTTATAAAATATTGTGTTACATAATCTATTATGTGAAATGAACAAGTTAAAGAAAGAAATAAATTCTACATATTATACAGAACGTTACAATAATTTAAAAAAAGAGTATCAAAAAATAACAAAACAATATTTGAGAAGAAAAAATAATGATCGTATTTTAAAAAGTAATAACGTAATGAAAGAATCCTGGAATATAATAAAAAAAATTGGGGAAAAAGAAAAAACAACTTATTGAATCCTATTAAACTTACAAATGATGACAAATTAACACCCTTAGAAAAAGTAAATTATATCAATGACTATTTTATTAATGTAAATAAAAATAATATTGTACCTAACTATACTATGAGTATTGATAAACATCATAAAAGTTTTTTCTTTTTCCAACAACTCCTAGTGAAATCATCACTAAAATCAAAAAACTACTTCTAAACCCACTGGAGGTATTGACGAAATAAATGGTAAAATTATGTTATCGGTTGCTCATTATATTGCTGAACCCATATCACATTTGATTATTACCAAATATGAAGGAATCTAAAGAAATTCCTGTTTATAAAAATAAGGGATCTGCATCTAATATTGAAAATTATCGTTTAATCTGTATATCTAGTCAAATAACTAAAATATTTGAGTCAGCATACTCTATTAGACTCACTAATTACCTTGAAAGTTTTAATATGTTGCCAGATACTCAAAATGGATTTAGAAAAAATAAAGTCAACATCTACTGCAATTGCAGCTTGCCTAGAGTTTATATATCAAGCACTCAATAATAAAAAACATATTTTGGGACTCTTCTATGACCTTAGCCGTGCATTTGATATGGTGGATCATAATCTTTTATTATTAAAGATGAATGGGTTAGGAATACGAGGGAAACCTTATGAATGGATACAGTCTTACTTAATAAATCGAACTCAAGTAATTGTAACAAATAGTCTAAAATCTGATCCTCTTCCATGTACAATAGGAGTTCCCCAAGGTTCAATTTTGGACTCACTTCTTTTTATAGTTTTTATAAGTGATATAAGTAATTTTTGTTTAAGCTCTCAACAAATAGTTCAATATGCCGATGATACCAATTGAACAGGTCACTCAAAGTATCATCATCATCTTCATCATTTGAATTAGGGCGTGGTTCAAAGCCCACTTTTACTGAAGCTCTAGGCTTATTGTACCCCTCACAGTTTCTATCCCATCAGATTGATTTTCTTGATAAATTCAAGAATATGTCTGATGGACGCTTTCGCGATTTCTTCAGGTTCCAGATATTGTACCCCGAAGTACCATTCCCGTTCCCATTTAAGGTTCCGGCAGTGGCATAGTATGTGAATAGGAGTTTCGTCCTCCTCTTCACATATTCTACATAGGGAGTCATCAGATATCCCTAAGAGATTTAGGTGTCTTCTTAAGCCGCAGTGTCCTGTAAGGAGTCCTATTACGGCATGGCCCCTCTATGAATCTTTTGGACTGTCTAAGTCCAGGAAGTTCCATCCAGAGCCTATAGTGTTCTCAAAGTAACAACGAGGCATCTCGTGAGTTTAACCAGTATTGTAAAAATAACGGTCTGGCATTAAATGTAACAAAAACAAACTTCATGCAATTTCTACCCAAAAACATATTACCAGATTACGAACCCTACTTGCACGTTGACGGAAAAACTATACAAAGCGTTGATGACATAAAATTTTTAGGAATAATATTAGATCCAAAATTAAATTGATAAAAATGGTAATTTCAAAATTAAGTACTTGTTGTTATATCATCAAAAATTTAAAGGAGACACTATCTTTTGATACTTTAAAACTATGCTATTTTGGTTTGGTTCATTCAACTCTACAATATGGGTTAATATTTTAGGGTTCATCACCATACTTTGAAAGAGCTTTTGTATCTCAAAAGAAGATTTTAAGAGCCTTGTATAAGGTGACACCAACAACATCATGTAAATAACTTTTCAAGAAAACGCAAATTTTAACACTACCATCCCTTTTTATTTTATTTTTCAACTAATTTTATACATAAAAGATAATGAGCATATATTTAAGAAAAATAAAGACCTGCACTCATATGATACTAGCTTAAAATTTATCATCCATCAACCTTTTTCACGACTACAAATAAGCCAGCAATCACCAAAATATATTGGGATTAAGTGTTACAATAAGTTTAGTAACATATTAGAAGATACTACAGGTTATCATCAAATTAGTCGTAATGATTTAAGAAAACATCTTAATGATTCTCTTGTAATTAATGTATTTTATAGTATAGAAGATTTTTTGAACTTTTAAACTAATCTTAACATGAACATGAACATAAAGGCGGCAGTAACTACGATCCTTCGAACTTCAGGCCTATATCTCTCATTCCTACAGTGGCCAAAATTATTGAAAAAGTTGTAAAAAAACGTTTGATTCAATATCTAGAAACTCACAAATTGCTGGAAACACAACAGTTTGGTTTTCAAAAGAACAAAAGTACTTCTGATGCGATATTTTCTTATCTTGAACATGCTTATTCTAGAATTAATGTTGACGACTCTGTAGCGGCGATATTCTGTGATTTAACTAAGGCGTTCGATTGCGTCAATCATACA